GGGGGGGGCCGGATGAGAGGGAGAGAGAGAGAGAGAGGGAAAAATATGTGCGCACCGTCCAGGAGCTCATAGACGACAGGGTAGTTGGCGTGGAGGACATCCTCGTTGAGCTTGCCAAAATAGGCACAAGTGATTTCGATAAACTTGTGAAGGAACTCGAAAACCTGCCAGCCAGAGACACATCCACAGGTGTGCGGGTGGGAGCGAGCGGGGGCGGATGAGTGTGCATATGGGTGCAGTAGAATGACAATCGCGGAGGCCCCAGGGTGAGCCATGACCATCGGGGAAAAGAGGAAGGGGGCAGGCGGAAGCAGCGGGCGGGAGGGGCAGAAGGGGCGGGAGGATGTCTGTGACAAAGAGACACGCACGAGGGTGGCGCTGACATTCTGCTTCGAGACAGCCACAAGGTAGAGGTCCTCATGGCGGATGTGGAAGAAGGTGGTCGAGCCGAAGGTGTGCAGCGGTGCCCGGACGTCGGGGTTGGACACAACATGGATCCGGAAGAGATCCGATACGGAGCGCCTGTAGCCGGCGGGAAGAGGGAGAGAGAGAGAGAGGGGGGGGGGAGGGGGAGCAGGGTTTCGAGTCAGGATAGGGGAGGGGGGAGCGGGGGCGACTGGGAGCGGGGGGGGGGAAACACCCTGGCGGTGGCAGACCGTACCGGATGTCAGCGCGGTACAGACGGAAAAGCTGGACCTCGCCCTTGTGGCTGTGGATAAACACGCCCGAAATCATCGCTCACACACACACACACACACGGGGTCTCGCACGGGCGCGGGCGGGGAGAGGGGCAGAGGAGAGGGGGTCGGAGGGAGGGGGGGGGGGCGAGGCGAGGCGCCCTGGGAGAAGGGTGGTACGAGGAGGGGGCAGGCGAGGGGGCACAAAGGTCGGAGGAGGGAGGGGGGGGGGGAGAGGAGTGTCGATGACCCTGCCGAAGCGCACACCCGGCGAGATCGGGAAAATAAAAATCCCCCGACCGCTTCCGGACAAGCCCAGGGCGCTGGGCGGGCGGAAACACCTTCCGGCCCGGGGCGGGAGAGTGCGAGACACGAAAGATCAAGAGCGGGCCGAAGAGCGATGAGACAAATGCCTGCTAGAGGGTGATGCCTCGCCAGGGCCGGGGACACCCGGGGGTGGGCGGCTGGGGGGGTGGCCACGGACCCCACGGAGCCCAGCAATCCGGAGACGCCCGAGGACGGCAGCGAGATCGACGGCCAGAAGCAGGAGGTCGCGGCGGCCGCGGCGGCTCCCGGCCAGGGGGACCAGGCGGAGGCGCGGTTGCTCCCGCGCCTCTCCGCCTCCCTGCCCGCGGCTGCGATGGGATGGACACCTTAGAGAGACGCCCTTCCCCCCCCCCCCCCCCAGCCGGCCGATTGCTCCGGAGGGCCCAGCCATCTGGCAGCCAGACCAGGGACCCCAAGAGGGCTGGACACCTCGGCAAGGGATTAGCCGTGGTAGATTTCCCGGACCCGCTCGTGCGGCGAAGGTGTCTAAGCTGGAGCCGTCGGCTCGGCTGGGGGTCTACACCCATACACACACACACACACACACACAGCTCCGTGGAACAATCCTCTAGCGAGGGGGCGGGGGGAGGGAAACAATCGACCTGCATTCGTTTCCCGGCCACCGGGCCGGCCAGCCGCCTTGTCTAAGGCGCATCGTGCTACACCAACGATGGCCAGGGAAGCCGGGGCGGAGAGCGTCCTTGGTCCGGGTCTCTTTTTCCCCCCCCCCCCCCCCCCCCCGCCCCGCCGTCCCGTCCACTGGCTACCTCTCCGAGGCCTGCCTGGGCTGCTCTCCCGGCCTCCCGGTCGCCTGGAAATTCCCCACCAAGGCCATATTCTGGAGATGTGGAGTGTCCGCGTGATATTTTTCGGGGGCGTGATGAGGCGGCTCGTCCCTGCCCTTGTGTCTGATGTGTGATCAGGGGCTTCCACTTTGGCAGGACACCAGCCGCGCCCGGCCCCGGGTGGTGGGCAAATCGCGGGCCTTCTCTGGACTTACAACGGGGGGGGGGGGGGGGGGGG